CACAAGATCCAGGTCCGATTCAACACAGTACATAAAATCCGTGATCTGGTCCCGTCTGTAAAAGATGTGGTTCCAGACATACAGTACCCTGGCGTCTACAAACTAAGTTGCCTCTGTGGTAGCAGTTACATTGGAGAAACCAAACGACATGTCTCGGACCGCATCCGTGAACATAAGGCAGACCTGAAACACGGTAGGACAAACACCTCAGCCGTGGCAGATCACTGTTACAATTCAGTGGGCTCACATGACATTGACTTCTCCAAGACAGAGGTTCTCTGCAAGCCATCTGGCTATCATGAGAGATTCGTTCATGAGGCGATCCACATATACAAACACAGAGACAATTTTAACCGAGAAGATGGATTCTGGCTTAGCAATCATTGGAAGGACGTAATAAACCATTTCGACACACATTAGGGTGGGTAGAATAATACATAGTGTTATATTAAATGTATAAGATATAGGTTGGTTTACAGCAATACAGTATATAATTTAATGTTGGCAGTATATAGTACGGTATATGCTCGTTGATGCAATAGAATAAAGTTTAGATGGAAGCATATTATATAATTTTTACGACGTAGAATTGTAATTTATTACTTGCTGTTAGTAACTCAGCTTAGTGTAGAGTATAGTAAGTATACTGATGGTGCTATGCTATTTATACTTTAGTTTTTTATGTAGTTTATACTTTAGTTTTCTACGTGGTGGTTGAGTAACTGCAGCTACATATCATTAACATTCCTTTCCTTTGTTACTGCTAATCCCTGCACCCCCCCCTTGGTGCTGTTGATCCTGCATAATGCATGGGCATAATATGACTTTGAAACCCCCCCGCCCACCTCCTACGCATTTTCCATGAATATGCTAAATTCCTCTTCACATGCACATTCTTTTGTTAAGGCGCTCTTTCCTCCACCTCCAACGCAGCTTATATATAAGCTCCTAGCTTGGCATTGTCTCATTCTTCACCTGAAGACGGCTGCTTGCGTTGTAGCCGAAACGTCGTGAGAATTGTTTTATTATGTTTTATTTTTATTATTTTATTACTTCCCTTCTACGTGACTTTACCGAAAGAACCAAGAAGATGAATCCCTGCAGTCACGAAAGCTTTAAATCGAAATTCTTCTTGGTTCTTTCGGTAAAGTCACGTAGAATGACAGACCTGTTCTTCACCTGAGGACGGCTGCTTGCGTTGTGGCCGAAACGTCGTGAGAATTATTTTATTATGTTTTATTTTTATTATTTTATTATTTCCATTCTACGTGACTTTACCGAAAGAACCAAGAAGATGAATCCCTGCAGTCACGAAAGCTTTAAATCGAAAATTTTTGCAGCTTATTCACCTGTCAAGATGGGCTCTGCTTCTGCCACAATGTGACCAGTCTGTTCAAGGCAATCGGAATCGCCTGTAACCAGAATGAGTGGCGTCTCTTCATTGACAGCTCATCCAGGAGGACAGCTCATCCAGGAGCCTCAAAGCCGTGCTGCTCTATAATGGTCACAAGTACCAGTCTCTTCCCCTAGCTCATACGGTGCACCTCAAAGAGGATTACAACAGCATTAAGACCTTGCTGGACGGCTTGAAGTATGATGAGTACGGCTGGGAGGTCATCAGAGACTTTAAAATGGTGGCATTCCTGATGGGTCTCCAAGGCGGTTTTACCAAGTTTCCCTGCTATCTTTGCCTTTGGGACAGCAGGGACACCAATGCGCACTACTCTGGTGAAGAACTACGGCATAATTGGCTGTAGGATGTCCCTCAGAGTCCATATCCTTGATGCTCATCTTGATAAATTCAAGGAGAACATGGGAGCGTACTCGGAGGAGCAAGGCGAGAGCTTCCACCAAGATATACTGGACTTTGAACACCGCTACCAAGGACAGTATAACGAGAAATTGATGGGAGACTACATTTGGGGGCTGATTCGTGAAAGTTATTTACAGTATACTGTAATCGTAAATCTCGAAAAACTACTCACTTCTAAATCTTTTTAATAATTTTTGTATTACTTTAGTATAAATACAGGTGTAGTGACATCGCCGGATGTCCCAATGAAGTGGGTGCAGTACCGGCCCCAGAGGGGCACGGCATGCGGAGTAGCGACATCGCCGGATACCACAATGTTGTGGGTGTAGTACTGGCCCTAGAGGGGCACGGTGTGCGCTGAATAATAGCGCTGGATGGTACCACGCTTTAAGTGCAGTGCCGACCCTACAGGACAGGGTGTGTGGGTGCCGACCGAAGGATAAGTTTGTGTGAGGCCATGGCACTCTGGTTGACCCGGAAGGACACGTGACCAGTTAAGTTGACAGAGGGGGCCCCAAGAGGGGGCTAGGGGGTTCACTTGATTGGGATCCAGGTCCTTCCCGAAGATTCTGGAAGGTGGACGTGGCCAAGGGCGGAGCCAGCCATGCCACAGAGAATATAAGCCGGGTCCCGAGAGGGGACCGGGGTTGTTGTTCATCCTTGAAGAAACCCTTCGTCTACGATCTCTGTTCAACGAGTCTCCAACACGTGGACCGGGGCCGAAGTCCCAGTCCGTAGTAACTAGTGTAGTAACTTAGCTGGGTGGTCACCACCTTAGGTTGTTATTCTGTTAAGGGGAAGTTACCCTGTGTGTTGGAACTGAATAAATGTGTTACCTCCAAAGTCTACACCTGCGACTCAGTTGAACCCATTACACATGTTAATTTTGATTCATATGTTGTTTTTTTCTGACTTTATGTGAACGAAAAGACACAAATTCGCCCGTTTTCTAATTAAAAATAGGAACATTTCAAAACATCACTCTCCTGATCACAAAAGCAAAGTTTGTGGGGAATAATAGCCATTTTCTATACTTTTTGGGCATAAGCAATTAGGAAAGAACACTTAATACCCAGGAACAAAAATTGTGTTACATAGTGTTGAATAATTATTCAACATTTGTTTGCCAGGTTCTCTAAGGAGAAGCTTGCGGAGCCCCAATATGGTTTCAGACCCGGGCGGTCCTGCACAGATGCCATATTCACTGTACATTTACTACAGCAGAGGTGTAGGGAATTCCAACAAAACCTACATCACTCCCTTATTGACCTGGTGAAGACCAATGATTTCATCAACAGGCCAAGGTTCTGGGCTGTTGTTTGTGATTTCGGAGTCCCTGACTGGTCACTATAATTAAGGGCCTTGATTATGATGGGCAACCCCAGGTAAAGCTATGTGGCTTGAAGTTATAGCCATTCCCTCTTCACCTTGGGGTGTGACAGAGATGCCCTGTGGTTCCCATATTATTTAACATTATCTTTGACCATGCAGTGGTCATCCATCTTATGTATGCTGATGATCTGGTAATTGTTGCCCACTCAGAGGAGGAATTGGAGGTGCTGCTGCTGAACCTGGAGCATGCCAATAAGAGGTGGGGTCTTACCATTAGCCCCACCAAAACTATGCACCTGCCTGGGTATTTTGGGCCATCAAATACTCCACCCCCTCAACTCACCATTGGTGATGAGGCAGTTGTGGAGAGAGTGGAGAGTTTTCCATACCTGGGCAGTGTGCTTATGACCAGCTCCGGTTTTACATCAGAGGTCTCACTCCAAATCAGTCCAGCAGCATTATCTTTTCATCGGCTGCGTAACAATGTATGGAAGCTACCTGGTCTGTTGCTACACATGAAGCTTTGGGTCTCCTCGGCCACAGTCATGTCCTCCCTTTGCGCTTGTGAAACATGGACCCATCTAATGGAACATCCGTGCCAGTTAGAAACATTCAGGCTGGCCTGCTTACGATCCTGGGTTTAACCAGGCTGGATTGTGTGAGTAGCTCACATCCTTGAGAGATCTGGACAAGTCCCATTGGTGAGCCCCTCCGGGAGGCAAGGCTGCATTGGATGGGCCATATAGCCCGCATGCCCAGCCACCACATGCCTAAACAGCTTTTGTTCGGCCGGATAGAGGGGGCTAAATGGGTGCGGAACTGGCTATAGAAGAGATGGAGTGATGTGGTCCAGGAAGATGTGGAGCTGAGTGGACTTGCCGATAACTGGTACCACCGGTGTCAAGATCGGCCTCTGGAGGAGGCTCGTGAAGGATGCTACTGGCCAGTTGGAAGCAGTCGCCCTCCAGCAGCAACTGAGAGCAGAGGAGTGATGCTGACAACGAGCAGAGCGCCGAGCGGCTAAAACACAGCAAATTGGCACAGTAGGTGCACAGGTAGTGCATCGGTTGGTTATTTCATTCAACCCATGGCACCTGGGTCTGTCCCGTGACCTCCTGCCAGCAGGCTATCAACACTTCACATGGCCTTAAAGTAGACTTATCCTGGTGTTGTATATTTTGGGTCTTGAAAATTTTATAAAAAAAAAAAATTCAATGAAAATAAAAAAATGTGTAATTTCCTGAAACTATGCAAATTATGCTAATGTATGTAATAACGATAATTAGGTTCTGCCTCGTCTCGGGTAGTATTATCAATCGGGATAATACAATGAATTGTATGAAGTTATGCAAGTGTGATGTAAGTATGCTGATTAAGCTCGGCTTTGTTATCTAGGGTTGTATTATCAATCGGGATAATACAATGATTCTCGCTTTAACTTTTACTAAAATGTGTACCTGGTGCAGTGTGTAAACACCACCACTGGAGAGACAAAGGGCGTGGTGTTGGCTACCCACCCCCTCGTGTGCCAATGCCAACCCTCATAGGTGTTCTCTAACAGCACTTTTCCTAATATTCTGTTAAAGATACATGGGGGACCGTTGTCGTTGGTGACCCCCCCCCCCCCCGTGTGTGTGGGTGTGGAGAGCAGTAGTGCAATGGTTAGCACGCCAGTAAAAAGTGGCCAGGCATGGTGCTGGCCATTCACCCCCTCGTGTGCCGTTCCAACCTTAAAAGGCACTGCTCACCAACAGCACTTGCCCTAACAGTCTGTTCAGGCTATATTGGAGATCGTTGTAATTGGTGTCTTTGTCTATGTGCGTGTGCCCCGTGCATGTTTTTTGTGCAATTTTAGTGACTCGTGCCCCTTCTAACAAGCAAGCCAGCATCAGGACTCAAGGTAAGTTAAAATAAAACAGATTTTTGTTTACATTACTTTATTTTACGTTATATTAACTCTGCAGTATGTACCACAGTATTACATGCAAATGTACAATCTATTTTCTTATTTATGAGTTTAACAATGCTTCCCTTTTTTGTAAAAACTGTAACGTTTCAAAACACTGACCGTATGGGCATTTAAATACACTACATTATTGTGTTCCGACTTATTAATTGTTGGATTTACGAATGGGTCTCAGGAATGAATTATGTTTGTAAGTCAAAGATTGCCCGTACTCATAGATACCATTTTTTCTGTCTTTGATTTGCTTGGTATCATGTGTAGTTTAGCAACCTCATGCTATGATGGGATGTATTGCACTTTCGGATAGGTTTGTATGTGTGTAATTGTTGTATATGGCATGGTGGTTTGTGGGGTTTGCGAGTGTTCGTGTAGATGTGAATTTATAATTTTGTGTACATGTGTGTGTGCAGACACATCTGACAGTACAAGCTCTGTATTTCCGCGGAAGCTGTTGCGAGGAGGTGTAGGGCTTGGATTAGGGAGGCGCGGACGACGAGGTACAGAGTCCCCCACAAGTCCTGAGGAGGCAAAGGCCGTCTTCGGGGGAAGGGATGTGTCACTCTTCCTTTTCCATGCGCTCGGGAAGATTTTGCACTGCAAGCGTAAGTGCTCATGTGCACACACACATGAACATATTACTGTATTCTACAGGCAATAATGCAAGATAAGGCTCGTGTAGTGCCATTCATTTTAATTTCAGAATAGTCCTGACAAGTTCATCTCCATGCAACATTTTACTTACATTTTTTGGTCTTGACTAATGCAGATTCAGGTAGAATTCCTTTTTCTTTTTAAAATGAATCATTAATTTAAAACAACACAGACGTGCAAGAAGTACTCGGATAAATCTTGACTTAAAGATTTTGTGACTGCAGGAATTCATACTCTTTGGGTCTTTCGTTAAAGTCACGTAGATAGAAAAATAATAAAAAATCACAACATTTCGATCGCAACACAAGCAATCGTTTTCAGGTGAAAAAATATAGCAGGCGGACTGCTGAGGCAGGAAGAAATATAGCGCGGGAGCTACTGCAGCCAAAGGTTATAGAGGTTTGAGATGGGTACAACCCAAGGGTAAGTGGGTGGAGCTAGAGATGGAATTTGCAAGTAAATGTAAGATCTCTAGCCCCGCCCACTTACCCTTGGGTTGTACCCATCTCAAACCTTTATAACCTACTAGCAGAAGTACCCGGCGTTGCCCGGGTGAAAAATATATTTCCTTACATATATACACAGATACTAAGGTATTGTCAAAGCCCGGTGGGCTTTGACAATACTCACCATTCACGCTCACCACTCACCCTCACCACTCACCCTCTCCCTCACCACTCACGCTTACCACTCACCCTCACCACCACCACTCACCCTCACCACTCACGCTCACCACTCACCCTCTCCACTCACCCTCACCACTCACCCTCACTAATCACACTCACCCTCACCACTCACCATCACCACTCACCCTCACCACTCAACCTCACCCTCACTACTCACCACACATCCTCTCCAATCACTACTGACCAATCACCACTCACCCTCACCACTCTCCACTAACTCTCACTACTCACCTTCACCACTCACCCTCACCACTCACCCTAACTACTAACCACTCACCCTCACCACTCACCCTCACCACTCACAACTCACCCTCACCACTCACGCTCACCACTCACCCTCACCGCTCACCCTCACCACTCACTAATCACCACTCACAACCGCCACTCACCCTCACCACTCACTCTCACCACTTACTCTCACAACAACCACTCACCCTCACCGCTCACCCTCACCACTCACCCTCACCACTCACCCTCACCACTCACGCTTACCACTCACCCTCACCACCACCACTCACCCTCACCACTTACGCTCACTACTCACCCTCTCCACTCACCCTCTCCACTCACCCTCACCACTCACCCTCACTAATCACCCTCACCACTCACCCTCACCACTCACCATCACCACTCACCCTCACCACTCAACCTCACCCTCACTACTCACCATTCATCCTCTCCAATCACTACTGACCGATCACCACTCACCCTCACCACTCTCCACTAACTCTCACTACTCACCCTCACCACTCACCCTCACCACTCACCCTAACTACTAACCACTCTCTCACCACTCACCCTCACCACTCACCCTCACCACTCACAACTCACCCTCACCACTCACGCTCACCACTCACCCTCACCGCTCACCCTCACCACTCACTAATCACCACTCACAACCACCACTCACCCTCACCACTCACTCTCACCACTTACTCTCACAACAACCACTCACCCTCACCGCTCACCACTCACCCTCACCACTCACCCTCAACCTCACCAATCACCACTCACTGCTCACCCTCACCACTCACGCTCACCACTCACGCTCACCACTCACGCTCACCCTCACCACTCACCCCTCACTAATCACCACTCACAACCGAGGGAGAGTGGTGAGGGTGAGTAGTGAGAGTGAGGGTGAGTGGTGAGGGTCAGTGGTGAGCGTGAGTGGTGAGGGAGAGGGGTGAGCGTGAGTGGTGAGAGTGAGTGGTGAGTCGTGAGTAGTGAAGATGATTGGTGAGGGTGAGTGAGGGTGAGTGGTGAGGGCGAGTGGCGGTTGTGAGTGGTGTTTAGTGAGGGGTGAGTGGTGAGGGTGAGTGGTGAGGGCGAGTGGTGATGGTGAGTGGTGAGTGGTGAGGGTGAGCAGTGAGGGTGAGTGGTGAGTGGTGAGGGCGAGTGGCGGTTGTGAGTGGTGAGGGTGAGCGTGAGTGGTGAGTGGTAAGGGTGAGTGGTGAGGAAGAGTGGTGGTAGTGAGTGGTGAGGGTGAGTGATGAGCGTGAGTGGTGAGAGTGAGTGGTGAGAGTGAGTGGTGAGGGTGAGTGGTGAGGATGATTGGTGAGGGTGATTGGTGAGGGAGATTGGTGAGGGAGAGTGGTGAGGGTGAGTGGTGACGGAGAGGGGTGAGAGTGAGTTGTGAGTGGTGAGGTTGAGTGGTGAGCGTGAGTGGTGAGAGTGATCTTCTTGGTTCTTTCGGTAAAGTCACGTAGAAGGGAAGTAATAAAATAATAAAAATAAAACATAATAAAATTATTCTCACGACGTTTCGGCCACAACGCAAGCAGCCGTGAGAGTGAGTTGTGAGTGGTGAGTGGTGAGTAGTGAGGATGATTGGTGAGGGTGAGTGGTGAGGGTGAGTGGTGAGGGAGAGGGGTGAGTGGTGAGGGTGAGTGGTGAGTGTGAGTGGTGAGGGTGAGTGGTGAGTAGTGAGGGTGAGTGGTGAGGGAGAGGGGTGAGCGTGAGTGGTGAGAGTGAGTTGTGAGTGGTGAGGGTGAGTGGTGAGTGGTGAGTAGTGAGGATGATTGGTGAGGGTGAGTGGTGAGGGAGAGGGGTGAGTGGTGAGGGTGAGTGGTGAGCGTGAGTGGTGAGGGTGAGTGGTGAGGGAGAGGGGTGAGTGGTGAGGTGGTGAGTGGTAAGGGTGAGTGGTGAGCGTGAGTGGTGAGAGTGAGTGGTGAGGGTGAGTGGTGAGAGGGAGTGGTGAGGGTGAGGGTCAGTGGTGAGTGGTGGTGGTGGTGAGGGTGAGTAGTGAGAGTGAACGGTGAGGGTGAATGGTGAGGGGTGAGTGGTGAGGGTGAGTGGTGGTAGTGAGGGTGTTGTGGGTGAGTGGTGGTGGTGAGGGTGAGTTGAGTGTGAGTGGTCAGGTTGAGTGGTGGTGGTGAGGGTGAGTGGTGAGGGGTGAGTGTTGTCGGTGAGTGGTGAGGGTTAGTGGTGAGTGTGAGTGGTCAGGGTGAGTGGTGGTGGTGAGAGAGTGGTGAGGGAGAGTGGTGAGGGAGAGTGGTGAGGGTGTATATACTTTTGCCTATGATGACAGCAGTACATGCTGGCGTTTTGTATGTTAAATGTAAAAGCTAAATGTGTGAATGTGTGTGTCTGTTGGAAATGTCAAGCAAGCTTGGCGACACGCAGATTTTAAAACGGGAATAGGGCGATTCTAAAGTAATCTACAACCTTCTATGAGTCCTTTGCGCGATTCAAAGAATCGATTCCTGGCGTGTTGGGGGTTTACATTTTGAATGACAGAGTTTTATTTTCATTGGTATGTTATGTTTTTGATTATATTTTTGCCCCGGTCAACGCCGGATATTTCCCGTTCGTAGCAGTTTATATCGACTATAACCAACTTATAGTAAACGGGAATCGGCCGATTCTGAAGGAGTCTACAAGCTTTGCGCGATTCAGAGAATCGATTCTTGGCTCGGTCGGGTTTAAAATTTTAATTACACATTTGTATTTTCATTGGTATGTTATGTTTTAAAGTTTTCAGAATATTTTAAATGTATTTTTTCCCCGGGCAACGCTGGGTATATCGAGTTTATAACACAAAGTCTTCGCCTGACACGTGTGGGGTGTCGAGGCCTAGTACCGTGCAGAGCCTCCGGCCTCGCCTAGATTGCCCACCCGGCCGAGGCTGCGTGCTGGGGCCGCCCCCCCCCCGCGCTAGAATAATACTGTCTAATCGCTATAATTTTATTATCTACAGACCCTATAATAGTAATTGCGCACACTGGAGTGGGGGGGAGTGAAGAGGACGCGAAACTTTGATGTATTTACCTCAGCGTCGCGTGTTAATGCGTGTGCATATTTTTAACGGGAATTAAAAATGGCGTCCACCCACAGCGACGGCGTTGCTGCCCGTTGCCAGGGGCAACCGCCCTGGTCGGCGTCTCGCGCATGCGCAACGGCGTGCTTCATCACGTGCCGGCCGGCAATAGTAAATAAATAAATAAAGAGAAATCGCACTAGATCGATAATCGAACCGATTTAAAGGCGACGGACGAAAAATCGGAAATGCCTTTGTTCACCGCGGGGCACGGGACGTGCCTCCTGGCAAATTTTTTTCGTCCTAACCCCACGGCCCGAGCACCAAATCCCTCGCAAGCGAGCGTACGCAGACAGACAGACGGACGGACAGACAAAAAGTAACGTTTATAGGTAAGATGGCTGCAGTAGCTCTCTCGCTATATTTCTTCCTGCCTCAGCAGTCCGCATGCTGTATTTTTTAACCTGAAGACGATTGCTTGTGTTGCAATCGAAATGTCGTGATTTAGTATTATTTTATTCTTTTTCTATCTATGTGACTTTACCGAAAGACCCAAAGAGTAAGTACTTGGCTTTTGTGCCTAATGCAAAATCATCAATACATTTAAGATATTTTAATATAATCATAATTAAGTGATCAGTCATTTAAATCATATTTAACATATGGAACGTATAAAATGCATCATAATTTCACAAGTCAAAATATAAAACTAATGCTCCAAGTCCACATGGAAAACATCACCTTTGTGAGAAACATTTGAATAACTTTAGTTAATACAAGTGTTTCCTTTTTAAATTAATTGTGACTGAATGTGTTATTGGGCAGAGTATGGTATAACATTGGTATATGGTGATGCATATCATGTTTTAATGCATAGAAATTGAATCTTTAAAAGTCACCCAGTATTGAATAGACAATTGCATGCATTTACTTAGCAATGAATTAGGATTTATTCATATTTACCAGAATTGAATAGCATGTGGCCAGTTGAATTGTGTACAAATTACAGTTGTATGCAAATGTGTGCATGTGTGCAGGTGAAAACGGCCCTATCTCAGAATCCCACGCTCTCCCCGCTCACTTGACCCATCAACAGAGAGACATGTTGGCAGTTAATCCTGAGGTCAGGTAACACTTGTGCTGATCCACCCAACCACGATATCTCTTGTATGTCTGTGATTCTTTCTTCACATGACCTCACAGCTTCATAACTTCAGCATTTGACATGCACATCTATTTGTGTGTATGCAAATATAACCGTCTCATCCTATGCCTCTCCTCCCATGATCATAACGAGGGGACAGGCCGATTAACAACAATAACTATCACTAAATGTAATTAACTATAACAAAATTAACTCCTTTTTTATACATAATATAACATTCACTTTCGAATCACCTTCCCATTACTGCATATCCATTAAATTAACTTGAAATTTTCAAACTAGACAAATGAGCACTCGTATATATAATTAAATAAGTACCACGGTCTTAACGGCGCCATCTTGTTTTTGAAAAAATGTACAATATAGAACTCAAAAGTAATTAACTTATACTTGTAATTATGACCAGATACACACCAACCGACCCCACATTGCACAACACCTCACTGCTCAATCTCTGTAGTTGGGATTGAGTGGAAGTGTTAATATTCTGCAACCACGCCCGAATTACTGTATTTAATAAGTTATTAAAATCGTATTCAATTATCAAAATCTTAACTGTGAATATATTTACTATCATTAAACAATCAAGCTAATTCACATTACTTTCAGTTAATTAATGTTAGAATAACAATATCAGTAACTATTAAACAGTTATATACAACTATATTTTTGCAGAGTCTTAAATCTGTGTTACCTGTACAGCCTCCATTTGAACCTGAATAGATAACCTGGACCCTGAATTGATTACTCCACTGGTAGGCGTAGCCGACTGTGCAGTTACGCGAGTCTGGGTCCAATCCATGGTCATTAACTCCATTGCTAATTATAAGTGTAATTCCTTACATTAAGCTCACCCTGCCTACACAAACAAATGTCTATGGATTTTTATTCAATTGTTTCTTGCACTCTCACAAAAAAATGCATTGTGGAAATTATATTACAAATTGATGTAAAGCTAAATATGGCCAGGTGATCAAGTTAAAGTACACAGCTCGACATTGGAAGTTTGTAAATTAAAATTATGGTCTGTAATGAACACAAACCTTAATATCTTTTAGGTCAATGAAGTAACCAATACTATGGGAAATTAACAGTGGTTTCTTATGGTTTGATTTGCCCCTGAATTAGGAATGGGAAATTTTCACCACTAAGGTGTTACGTTGATCTGGAAAGGTTCAGGTTCAAGGCTGTATACATTATAAAAGTCGGTAGCCCCAATGCCTCATTAGTGGGCTCCATCATAAGCACATACCTAACTACAGGCAGTCATCGACTTACGAACACCCGCACTTATGAACCAGCTTCCATTATTTTATTTTTAGCATTGACTTAAAACACGAACTCGTACTTGAAAACTGAACCGTGGAACTATTTTGTTCAGCGGAGCAATCCTCCACCAGATGTAATGTGTCAACCTTGCGATGCGAGTGAGTGCTTGTGTGTATGTGTGCATGCGCACGTGTGTGTGTGTGTGGGGAGCGGTAGTGTAATGGTAAACATGTTGCGCTACGAACCCGACAACCAGAGTTTGATTCCCGCTCACAGCTAACACCAGTGACGAGTGTCTAAACCGGTCCTGAGCCTCTCGACTCAGCCTCAAATGAGTACCTGGTGTTAGTAAACCTCACCACTGGGGAGACCAAGGCAGCCGGCATGGTGGTGTTTGCCACCCACCCCCTCGTGTGCTGTGCCGGCCTTCATAGGTGCTCCCTAACAGCACTTGTCCCAACAGTCTGTTCAGCCTATATGGGGGTTCTTTGTGTTTGTTTGTGTGTGTGTGTGAAAGTGAGTGTGGGGAGCGGTCTTGTAGCAGTTAGGGCGCTGTCCTACCAACCTGGCATTCCAAGTTTAATTCCCGCGCACGACCAACACCAGTGACGATTATCTGAACAGGTCTTGGGCCTCCCCTAGGTCGACTTAACGTTAAATAAGTACTTGGTGCGGTGTGTAAACAATCGCCGCCGGGGAGACAATGGCAGCCGGGTGTGGTGCTGGCCACTCATTCTCTCGTTCCGTGCCAGGCTTCATAGGTGCTCGCTAACAGCACTTGCTCCAGCAGTCTTGTGAAGGCTATATTAGTGTGTGTGCGTCTGTGTGTGGAAGGATGCCCTGGTGGCCCCCCTCTTTAAGAAGGTGGCCCGCACAGACTGTAAAAACTACAGGGGCATCTCACTCCTCAGTGTGCCGGGAAAGGTCCTGGCAAGGATTATTCAACATCACCTTGACAGGCATGCTGAGGAGAAGCTTGCGGAGCCCCAATGTGGTTTCAGGAAAGGGCGGTCCTACACAGATGCCATATTTTCTGTCCGTCTACTACAGCAGAGGTGTAGGGAATTCCAACAAGACCTACATCTCTGCTTTACTGACCTGGTCAAGCCCTATGGTACCATCAGTAGGCCTGGGCTCTGGGTTGTTGCTTTCGGAGTCCTGACTCTGCTCACGATCACTAAGGCCCTTCATGATGGTGAGTGGGCCTGGGTAAAACTACGTGGCCGGGAGTCGGATACATTCCCTGTTCACCTTGGAGTGCAACAGGGATGTCCTCTGGCTCCCACATTATTTAACATCTATTTCGACCACGTTCGTGTGAAGCCTTTGATGGCTGTACTTGAGGAATTTCCATCTGGTACAGATACAATGGGAGGCTGATCGATGCCCGGGTGTGGTCAAGGGATGGCTCCCTATTGTATTCTTTGGGTCTTTCGGTAAAGTCACTCAAGCTGTCGTCATCAGGAAAAGGGGGTTAGCTTCTCAAGGCAAACTGTTTATAAAGGTTTGAAATGGGTGTAGCCCAAATTTCCGCAGCCAATGTTAATGTAAGTGGTGGGCAGCGACCGCGACGGTGGTGGGTTTTCCACCAATCAAAGGGCTGCCAGGTAAAAATTAGCATGTTAATGTAAGATCGTTGAGCAGTCTCCATGGCGATCGCACTGAGGTAGCTATGTTAATGTAAGAGATTAGCATGTTAATGGAATATCGCAGAGCAGCAACCTCGAGGTCGGCGTGTGAGGTGGCTGTGTTAGTGTGAGAAATTTAACCTGTTAATGTAAAATCAGAGCTGAAAATAACAACTAACATCGGAAGGTTGTAGGATGGAAACATCACAGCCAGTTATGACTTAAACTGGTTAATAACGTCCTTCCAATGATTGCTCAGTTTGTACCCATCTTCTCAGTTGAAATTGTGTCTGTGTCTGTGAATTAAAAAAGAGAAAAAAAGAGAGATTACATCTTCTTGGTTCTTTCATCATCAGGTGAAAACCACACCTGATGATGATTGCTTGTGTTGCAATCGAAACGTCGTGAGAATTTTTATTATTTTTTATTATTTCCCTTCTACGTGACTTTACCGAAAAAAACAATAATATGAATAACTACAGTTACGAAAGCTTTAAATCGAGAGATTACATCATCATCCTCTCAGCCGACAAGGGCAATGCCACAGTCATCATGGACAAAACCACATACATTCACAAAATTCAGGATCTACTTAATGATGGTAGCTATCCAAAAATTAAAAGAGATCCCACCAGCTGCCTCGTTATGAAAACCAACAATATCATCACCGATTCTACATCTTTAATAGAACCAACCAAGCGGTTTTCCATAAAACCCTCTGCTGCTCTGCTGCACCCAGAATGTATGGCTTACCAAAAATCCATAAAGAAGGTACACCCCTTCATCCTATCGTCTCCACCATTGACTCACCCACGTATAAACTGGACCGATTTCTGTCTGAGACCTTACGACCATTCACTGGTAAGACCACCTCAGCTGTACTTAACTCAGCTCACTTGGTATCGTTAATTACAGACATCTCACTATCTCCAGGTGATTTGCTCGTTAGTTTCGATGTAGTTTCTTTGTTTACCAAAGTTCCTGTGCCTGACACCATTACAATCATTGAAGATTTGGTCCCAGAAGGACTGAATGCTGATGTACCAGCCCTGGTGAGACACTGCCTCACCAATGCTTACTTCACCTGGAATGGGACATTCTACAAACAAGTTGAAGGTACCCCAATGGGTTCTCCCTTATCTCCAGTTGTAACCAATGTGGACAAATTTGAGACAAATATCATCCAGGCATCCACTCTACGTCCATCCTTGTGGAAGAGGTACGTAGATGGCATGTTCGTCATCTGGCCACATGGCCTACCAGCTCTGAACCAATTCCTCAACCACATAAATTCCATGCACCCAGCCATCAAATTCACCATGGAGGTGGAAAAGGATAGCAAGCTACCATTCTTGGAAGTTTTAATCGAAAAGAGACCAGATGGCTCAATGGGACACTGTCTACAGGAAAGCCACCCATACGGATGCATATCTAAAACCTGACTCACATCACCATCTTTCCCAGAAGAATTCCCTCGTCAAAACTCTACACCATAGAGCTCGATGTACTTCTGACTATCATCACCTCGCCAGTGAACTGGAACACGTACACCAAGCTTTCAAGATGAATGGATATTCAGACTACACAATCCGTAAAGCTATAACCCCAACCGTTGAGAAGGAACCATCTGAGGACCCAATCAAAATCATCACCTTGCCATACATAGCAGGGGTCACCAAAAGTATTTCCAAAATCATGAGCAAAAACAAGATCCAGGTTTGATTTAACACAGTACATAAAATTCGTAATCTGATCCCATCTGTGAAGGATGTCACCCCTGACATGCGATACCCCGGCGTCTACAAACTAAGCTGTGTCTGCGGCAGTAGTTACATTGGGGAAACTAAGCCACATGTCTCAGACCGTGTTCGTGAACATAAAAGGCAGATCTGAAACACGGTAGGACCAATACCTCGGCCGTGGCTGATCATTGTTTTAATGCGGTGGGCTCACACGAAATTGTTTTTTCTAAGACGAAGGTACTTGGCAAACCCACTGGCTATCAACAAAGTTTAATTCATGAAGCCATCCATATATACTGACACAATTTCAACCGAGAAGATGGGTACAAACAGAGCAATCATTGGAAGGACGTTATTAACCAGTTTAAGTCATAACTGGCTGTGATGTTCCCACCCTACTACCTGCCGATGATAGTTATTTTCGGCTTTCTGATTTTACATGAACAGGTAAAATTTCTCACACTAACAAAGCCACCTCGCACGCCGACCTCGAGGTTGCTGCTCTGCAATATCCCATTAACATGTTAATCTCTCACATTAACATAGCCACCTTAGCGCACTCACCGTGGAGGCCGTTCAACGATCTTACATTAACATGATAATTTTTACCTGGCAGCCCTTTGATTGGTGGAAAACCCACCACCGTCGCGGTCGCTGCCCACCACTTACATTAACATTGGCTGCTGACATTTGGGCTAAGTTCATTTCAAACCTTTATAAACAGTTTGCCTTTCGAAGCTAACCCCCTTTTTCTGATAATGATCGCTAGTGTTGCGATCAAAACGTCGTAGTTTTTTTTATATATTTTTTGAACCTATTTACGTGACTTTACTGAAAGACCCAAAGAATATTCATTCCTGCAGTCACGAAAGCTTTGAGTCAAGTTTTTGGCTCCGTATTGGTCAACCATGTTATGCATGCCGATGATCTGGTAATTGCTGCTCAATCAGAGGAGGAGTTGGAGGCGCTGCTGCTGAACCTGGAGTGTGCCACTAAGAGGTAGGATCTTACCATCAGCCCCACCAAAACTAAGCTCCTGCTTGGGTATTTTGTACCATCATACACTCCACCCCCACAACTCCCAATTGGTGATGGGGCAGTCCGTCTACTACAGCGCACCAGGTAGTTTCCACACAGCATAACGCTGTGTGGAAGCTACCTGGTCTGTTGCTCCACATGAAGCTTCAGGTCTTCACTGACACAGTCATGCCCTCTTCTCTATGCTTGCGAAATGTTGACCCCCCTAATGGAATATCTTCGCCGGTTAGAAACATTTATGCTGGCCTGCCTACAATCCATCCTGGGTTTAACAAGGCTGGATCGTGTGAGGAGCTCACAAATCCTTGAAAGATCTGGAGACATTTCCATAAGTGAACTCCTCCGGCAGGCAAGGCTGCGTTGGCTGGGTCATGTAACCCGCATGCCCAGCCATCGCATGCCTAAACAGCTTTTGTTCGGCCGGATAGAGGGAGCTAAATGGGCGCGGCACGGGCTAGAGAAGAGATGGAGTGATGTAGTATGAGAGGATGTGGAGCTGAGTGGACTTGCCTGGTACCAGTGGTGTCTGAGTGGACTTGCCTGGTACCAGTGGTGTCAAGATCGACCTCTGTGGAAGAGGCTCTTGAAGGATGCTGTTGGGCAGTTGAAGGAAATCGCTCTCCAACAATAACAACGGAGAGCAGAGGAGTGACGCTCAAAACAAAGCGGAGCACCTGGCTGCTAAAACAGCAAGTTAACACAGGGGGCACAGGTGGTGCATTGGCCAGTCATCTCAGTCGGTCAATTCACGGCACCTAGTTCTGTCCCGTGACCTCATGCCAGTGGACGTTCGACACCTCACGTGGCCTTACAGTACACATAGCCTGGCGTAAGCGCCGTAGTGATGTCACCGCCACTTAGTTGTGAATGGCAGTTGTTTTGTGTCTTTGTATGTGTGCATGTCCTATATGTGTGTGCACTTGTGGTTACTGATTGAAATATTTTTTACAGTGCTACATGCAAAGGTACAATGTCTTCTTATTTATGCGTTTAACGATGCTTTCCTTTTTTGCTGAACCGTAACACATTTCATCACACTGACCGTATGGGCATTTAAATACAGTACATTATAGTGTTCCGACATACGAATCATTCAACTTACGAATGGGTCCAGGAACAAAATATGTTTGTAATTCGAGGACTGCCCATACACACATGGTAAGGCCTCTACATTCTCGAGGACTTTGTTCTTGTAAATCTGCACAAGAGTAAAATTCGCAAATGTAGATAATGTTTATTTGGGAAAAAGGTTCCCGTGTCTCACTGATGATGTGGGAGAGAATTCAATATTTCATAACATTAATCCTCTTCCGTAAACATTCATAACCATCTACTTCTTCTTGGTTCTTTCGGTAAAGTCACGTAGAAGGGAAGTAATAAAATAATAAAAATAAAACATAATAAAACAATTCTCACGACGTTTCGGCCACAACGCAAGCAGCCGTCCTCAGGTGAAAACCAGGTCCGTCGAGGCGACAGAGTCTGAATGAAACAGCACACGAGCTTGGAGCATATATATAAGCTGGGCGCATTGACAAAGGAATTTGCATATCAAAAGGAATTTAGCATATTTATGGGAAATGCAGGAATGTGATTAGTACTGCATATGCATGTGCATTATGCAGGATTAACAGCATCAAAGGGAGCTGCAGTTACTGCTGCTGCTGCAATTGCTGCTGCTGCAGTTGCTGCTGCTGCAGTTTCTGCTGCTGCTGCAGTTGCTGCTGCTGCTGCAGTTGCTGCTGCTGCAGTTGCTGATGCTGCTGCACTTGCTGCTGCTGCTGCAGTTGCTGCCTTATCCATTTTAATATAACACTATGTATTATTCTACCCACCCTAATGTGTATCACACTGCTATATGTTTACTATACAATTACGACACCATACATTACTCTGCACACTGCACCATGCCAGTGAGTGGAACGCGGTCTGAAAGTCACCGTAAACGTGAACACAATCAGTTAAGATCCGAAATGGTTTATTACGTCCTTCCAATGATTGCTAAGCCAGAATCCATCTTCTCGGTTGAAATTGTCTCTGTGTTTGTATATGTGGATCGCCTCATGAACGAATCTCTCATGATAGCCAGATGGCTTGCAGAGAACCTCTGTCTTGGAGAAGTCAATGTCATGTGAGCCCACTGAATTGTAACAGTGATCTGCCACGGCTGAGGTGTTACAATTCAGTGGGCTCACATGACATTGACTTCTCCAAGACAGAGGTTCTCTGCAAGCCATCTGGCTATCATGAGAGATTCGTTCATGAGGCGATCCACATATACAAACACAGAGACAATTTCAACCGAGAAGATGGATTCTGGCTTAGCAATCATTGGAAGGACGTAATAAACCATTTCGGATCTTAACTGATTGTGTTCACGTTTACGGTGACTTTCAGACCGCGTTCCACTCACTGGCATGGTGCAGTGTGCAGAGTAATGTATGGTGTCGTAATTGTATAGTAAACATATAGCAGTGTGATACACATTAGGGTGGGTAGAATAATACATAGTGTTATATTAGAATGGATAAGGCAGCAACTGCAACAGCAGCAGCAAGTGCAGCAGCATCAGCAACTGCAGCAGCAGCAGCAACTGCAGCAGCAGCAACTGCAGCAGCAGCAGAAACTGCAGCAGCAGCAACTGCAGCAGCAGCAATTGCAGCAGCAGCAGTAACTGCAGCTCCCTTTGATGCTGTTAATCCTGCATAATGCACATGCATATGCAGTACTAATCACATTCCTGCATTTCCCATAAATATGCTAAATTCCTTTTGATATGCAAATTCCTTTGTCAATGCGCCCAGCTTATATATATGCTCCAAGCTCGTGTGCTGTTTCATTCAGACTCTGTCGCCTCGACGGACCTGGTTTTCACCTGAGGACGGCTGCTTGCGTTGTGGCCGAAACGTCGTGAGAATTGTTTTATTATGTTTTATTTTTATTATTTTATTACTTCCCTTCTACGTGACTTTACCGAAAGAACCAAGAAGATGAATCCCTGCAGTCACGAAAGCTTTAAATCGAAATTTAACCATCTACTTATTTGATTGTACAATAATACAAATAGATAATAACACAAATAATAATAGAACAAAATTGAATTAATTTAATTAAACATCAATAAGCTTTACTGTAAATGTATACGTTTTATTTACCTCGACACAAAACGTCATGGTCACTTGATCGTTAACGATACGCCGTCTCGGTGTCCGTATGGCACGTCCTCAATGAGTGAACAGCAAGATGCATCCGGTAACGTCTGTACACATTTGCGTTGTGCTTAAGTGTGTCAATTATGTGTTACGTCTGTACACATTTGCGTTGTGCTTGAGTGTGTCAAGTTTGTGTTACGTCTGTACACATTTGCGTTGTGCTTGAGTGTGTCAAGTATGTGTTACGTCTGTACACATTTGCGTTGTGCATGAGCGTGTCAAGTATGTGTTACGTCTGTACACATTTGCGTTGTGCTTGAGTGTGTCAAGTATGTGTTACATCGCCACATGCATCTAGGTGTCTGTATATAAAATCGCAAATAATCCAATTTAGCAAAATAAGTTTTACTGTATAGTATACTTAACTAAATACACATGTACTTAACACATTGTCTTGTTCAGTGTATTCCCCGATTAAACAATTGTGTTTTGGTTATATTAATTGAGAGAGCTCATTGGTCAATGGACTGAATTTTACTTCATTTTGGCAATAAAACAATCTTTACTAACTTTTTGTAAAACACCTAGTCCTGCATACTAATGTATTTACTGCTGCACACATAACACCTGGGTCTGTCTGGGGATTTCACGTCAGTGAATCTTCACTGTTCCCGGTATTCATTCCCTCAAAGTGAATTCGGCAAAGGTGCCTACACTTATTGATCGATGCATAAATTATGTATCCATGCAAGCATTCTCATGTTTGCATGTACTTGTGAATGCGTGTGCACCTGTGATTTGGACACGTTGGCAGGACGTACTGGAGAGGAGCCAAATGTCGCCCGGGCTCTTTACACTTTACCTACACCAGAACTACCTGGGATTCCTGCACGATGCTGAGGATGTTAGTGCGGCTGCACAGCACCTGAGTGATGCGGATTGTCTCACAGCTGACTGGGCGGTATGCACGCAGTCTCACGAACACCATCGTAATATGCACACATATTTTAGTGAATGTTTTTTCTTTGGGAAATTAGTATTGGCGAGTGGATAAGAAAAGTATCCTTAACCTAACTTTCATTGAACATCCCTCAGTAATGCTTTTTTTCCATTGCCCTAATTTTACAGAACACAAACTAAAAAAAAGATATATAATCCATTGATGTAAAAAAGTGATGTGCAGGCATAGGAAAGTTACGGGAACCTTTAATTATTGTATTCTGAGTAAGGTAAGCTCAATGTTGTTCAGAAACTTCAATTATGGAACTCATTCCTGTGTTTGGTTAGGAGCCACACCAAAATGCCTCGAGGCAAGGACCAGTGTATGATAAGGCATGTTAAGAGTAATGCTACGCTCAAAAGGGGATTTTTAGACAACAAAAATTGTAAATGTGACCATGAGCTTGGTCCTCCCATTATGCCTTGTGGGTCATGTTACATTACTATTCTGTATGTAGAATGCACACAGATTTATTATTGTAAAAATTCTGATTCTATTACTTCAGACAGCAGTAATCCTGGTGCTTCTGGTGGTCCCATTGCGACTTCTACCCACCGGTGCAGGTGAGAGTTGAAATGCGGGATTATGTGGCGGCAGTGGCCACGCGAGGGCTGCTTCACAGCCACGTGGGCAGAGCGCGGTCTGGTGTGGCTGGAGTCGGCTTCCGGCCTCTCCACAAACCAGAGTGGATCTCTGTGCACAGGAAGGTAAGTCTGTGCACGTGCATGTTCGTGCAACCCACACACAACCATGTTATGTCACGTACACAAGTCACAATCACAACTTTTGCTGTGGCACAGGTAAGCGGTGGGTGGGGTTCTTGATGTGTGACAGGAAGATCTCAAGCCAAGTGGACTTGCCATCAGTTGGCACCAGCAGTGTTAGGATTTATCTCAATGGAAAAGGCTAGAGAATTATGCTTTTAGTATCAGGCAGTTGCCACTCGCCAGAAATAGCAGAAGGAACATTGCTCACAATAATGAGCAAAGCATCTGACAGCGAAAGATTGAGTGCATATATGTGGCTCTCGAGTCAGACAAAAATACAGGTTAGGCAAGTTTATAGGGATAGGAAAAACATCGATATTTTAAATAATAAAATAATAAATATCGTTGACGAAAACATGTGAACTAAATGTCAGTGATTTTTCTATGTTTTATATTTTTTTACCATAATCCATTTAATAATAATGCTATTTATAATGCACAATATTTTTGAGACAGATGACCCTGTGACTGAGGCATGGAGTCAAGTTCATTGTTGCTTGAACACCAGGTGATACAGGTGGGGCCTTTAAGTGTGTTAAAAGAAAGTGCATCTTCAATATTTAATAGTAATTCTTATGATTGAAGAAAAAACTAAATTACAAAACATCAAAAGGCAGGCTGAGGTTGCAGGTTAAACACAAGACAATCTTGCGTTACTTTCCAGGTTAAATAATCAGAATAATTATTTATAATTTGAGAAATAACAATGGCACAAGGTTGATGTTACACCATAAACATAATGGACTTACATCTATTTTCAGAATATACACCTGTTAGCGACATTTGAAGAGGGACCAGTTTTTTCTTTCATCAAAGAATATAACATCGAAAGTTAAATATTAAAAGGAAAACATTTATGTTCCAATGTTATAGAAGGGACATTGAAGTCTGCCCTTTAAATGTCTCGCTATCCGGCAATAGTTGTTGTAGGTGCTGCTCCAATAACCCTCCTAATCTCCATTCTGCACGTGCACTCCACCAATTGAAATAGTTTCTCCTTGGCTACATCTGCCACAATTTGATACACGTGATATCACAGCTTTGTACTACTGCCACATAAGTTATTCAGACTAACACCTGTGATAAAGATATGTGAATTCCATCCTTCATTACTGTTATCAACTGTGTTTTAAGAAACCGTATTATTATGTTCCCAATGTCACCACAATAATTAACAGTCAAGTGTATTACCTGGCTAAAGCCCATTGAGCTTTATATATCTTTTTAAAGATATGTAATGGTCCAGATGAGCCCCTAGATAACAAACCTGCATCTGCAAATTCCAAGTCTGAGATACAGATGATTAAATCTGACGCCTAGAGTTCTGCTGTCCCTTCCAGTACATTTCTATAAGAAGGGCGGAGGTACGGGTACAGTGTGGTAAGTTGTAGATGACGTGTGCAGACGCATTTTGGATCTGTTGCAGTGGAATGAATGCATAGGCTGCAAGACCGAGGAGAGAGTTGCAGTAGTCTAAGCAAAGGAAGATAAGTGAGTGTATTAGTAGTTTGGCAGTGGACTGAGTGAGGAGAGAGCGTATTTTTCGAATTTGAAAGAAGAGGACACCAAGGTTGTGGGCAGAGGGGATATGGGTGAGTGAGAAGAGGGGGAGGAAAGTGATGGTGCGAGTGGGTGGAGGGGAAAGAGCAATGGGGAAAAAGAGAACCTGGGTTTTAGAGCGGTTGATGGCTAGTAAGCGAAGCGACATCCAAGACTGAACGGCAGTTAAGCAGGCTGAAATACAAGAAGAGAGGTCCGGAGTGAATGTGGAGAAAGAGTATAATATTTGTATGTCATCGGCGAAGAAGTGGTAGGAGAAGTTAAAGGAAGAGATAAGTGTTTCAAAAGAGGAGATGTAGAATTTAGGGCACCACGATGGCGAGATGTTAACTACCTCGCCCGCTATACTGGAAGTCGTGGATTTGATCCCAACCATGACGCCTTTATATGTGGAGTTCCCATGTCCTCTCCGTCGTTGCATGGATTTTTCTCCAGATCCTTAGGTTTTTCCCTTCACATTTAGAAACATACGTTCAGAGTATTTGGCTTCTTTTAATTTTCACATGATAAACCACTTGTTTGAGCTATCATTTGTGGCCAGGTCACTTCTGAAAAAGAGCTATATAGCTCACTAGGCCTTATCTGGAAAAAAGAAAATAGTTTATAGTTTGGAAAATAAATAAAAACAAACTCAATGCTTCTTTGCATATTCCCAGTTCATGAATAATCTTGTATAGCTACCACATTATCTGAGTGGACTGCACAGACCCTTTTTATCAAAATGGCGTCTGGCTGCTTGACCTGTAATCATTTGATTTGAAGCTTTCGTGACTGCAGGAATCCTACTCTTTGGTTCTTTTGGTAAAGTCACAGTATAAAATAAAATAAAACAGTCTGCCTCAGCAGCAGACCATGATTTCCCACCTGATGATGGACGCTTGTGTTGCGCCCGAAACGTCGTGATTTATTTTATTTTATACCTACGTGACTTTACCGAAAGAACCAAAGAGTATGTAATAATTTGGTGATTTTATGAATATTAACGATTTGGGGTCGAAATTTACATTCAAACATGGGTTATTTAATATTGTGGTTGAATTTAGCACCTTTGGTTGCTATGGTCATGTGAATTAATTGAATACAACATTTATGAATACAAATAATACATTTGTACACAATTCAGCATATACATCATTAACATGATAATAAGGAATGTCATCATGGGACCTCCTTGGCCAGTACCAAAATATGAGAATAGGGTTTCCCCTTTCTTCTGGCAACGAAACAGGTGTTAAGATGTTAAAACACCAAACTGAAACCTTTTACAAGGAATCATGTCTGCATTAACCACAATACTTGTGGTCAGAATGCAAACAAAACACGTACTCTAATAATATATGCATTGTCTTTGAAACTGATTGGTCCACACCAGAGACTGCTTTCTTTTCAGCCTCGTGTCAAAATGGTGTTAGACCAGAGGACGCCAAAAGGCGTAACACCTGTTTTGTTGTCAGAAAAAAGGGGAAAACCTATTCTCTATAATGAATGTCAATTGATGAATTGATGCATCATTGCATGCCTTCTCTCACCAAAATGGGATATTTTACTGGAGTCTATGTTACAGTGTGATGTTTGGGCACTGAGCAGTAGCCTCTCATCCAATGGTGTATGTTGCATCATTGGGAGATTTCCCTCTCAGCAGACTGGATGTAGCACTGAGAGCACTGATCACTGTAGATTATGATGCTGTGGCCTGGATTTACAAGTACACTAACACAAGAAGAAGACTCTCCCGATGTTTGTAGATCCCAATGGGCTACTGGTGGCTCCTCTGCCTTCGGATCCCGCAATCTCAGATCAAAGCTGTGGTATCCCTCACTCTCAGATGGCTCCTGCTCTAAAGCTGAGAACAGGGTTTAACTCATTCCAGTTGACTCGCCAATTTAGGTCTGGGACATTAGGGTAGCCTCTATTCAGCAAGTTTTTACCACTCCACACAGAATACAGGTTTTTCCTAAAACCTTGTGTGAGGGTTTATTATTACACTTACATTACCAAGGTATATCATGTGATCTACTGAGAGAAACCCTTCATTCCTGATACACACTGGGGTCATTCTGAGCCAGACCAGTGCAGTTCAGGAGGCTCCAAGTTGTTTTTCAACTGCAGATCCCGAGCCATGATGTGAGTGTGATACTTTTGTAACATGCAATGAACGATTTGAGACACATGTAGATTAATTAATACATTTTATAATGCACCCAAATTTAACTTAAGAACGTTGACAGGCGTGGGAGAATAAATTAAAGTAAGAGAAAAAGGTCAGCACAGATGCCACTGCACACAGTGAGAGAGGGATTGAATTCCAGAAGACTAGAGCTGCAACAGCAAAGCAATGTTCACCTCGTCTGGTTTGAGAGATGGGCTTGAAAAGGAGGCCACTTTTGAGGCAGATCGGCGACTCCAAGATGGGATGTATGATGAGACAACATAAATTAAATATGCTGGTTGACCCAGCGCGTGTGCTCTGTGACAGAGGACAATGACTTTGTACAGAATGTGTTCTTGAACTGGAAGATGGTGAAGTCGATTTTGAAGTTCAGAGAAATAAATGAAGGGGTCACGTCTTGTTGCGAACATCGTGTGGCGGGCACAGCAGTGCTGGATGCGCTGGAGACTGATGTTATTCGTAGTCCAGTATAGATCCGACGGTAGAGCAGGCTATAGTGTTGGCCAACTCAATGTTAAGGAGAGCACGAATATTGACGAAGCCCGGCGTGATGGTAATTGGACACAGATTGAGTTGTACTGGCTGACGTCACATGCAATGAGCATGTCATTAGCCCTGCCCTCAACTAGATTGATATTTTGAGGTTAGCGTATCACAGTTTGGTCCCGGCTCGGTAGAGCTCCTCATTAACTCAGCTCGGATGTGCCAGTGTGCCAGTAGAAAATGAGTATGAGTGAGCCAGGTCTGGCACATCCACTTTGGTGATGTTACCCCCACTTACTGGTGAAAGGTGGATTGTTGATTTCAGTATGTGGAGGCAAGGCTGGGGGCAAAACAGCTGTTCTCCTCATTCTGCCTGCCGCCTCTTGCCCTGCACCTTGAGCTACTACCGTATCTGGCCCTGCTCAACACTCCACTCCGAAATCCAGGCAAGTCAGTGCTGTGATCATCAATGGCACGCACGCATCCATACTCATGAAGGTGATATCCATCTCTCCACATTAAAAATACTCGTATTTCTAATAACCCATCAGCTGTAACGCCTACTGGGAGTGTATAATTTCAGCAGTATTAATTCAAGACAAGCAAATTATCTATCCTTTTAGACATACAGGCAATCCTTGACTTACAAACACTTAATTTGCCAACACCCTCATGTAGGAACCAGCTTCCATGAAATATATATTTTTAACATTGACCTAAAACGCGAACTCGCAATCGCAAACTGAACCGTGGAACTATTTTGTTCAGTGGAGTGATCCTCAGCGAGATGTAATGAGGCGGCCTCGCGCTGGGAGTGAGTGTTTGTGTGTGTGTGAAAATTTGTGTGTGTGAAAATTGTGCGTCAGTGCGCGTGCCCCCGTGTGTGTGTAATGGTTAGCACGCTGTGTTACCAACTCGGCGACCCGAGTTCGGTTCCCGCTCACAACCAACACCAGTGACAATTATCTAAATGGGTACTGGGCCTCCCCTAGGTTGATTCAGTCTCAAATGAGTACCTTGGTCAGGGTGTAAACATCACCACTGAGGAGTCAATGGTGGCCAGGTGTGGTGCAGCCCACTTACCCCCTTGTGTGCCATTCTGGCCTTTATCGGTGCTGCTGGCTAACAGCACTTGCCCCAACAGTTTGTTAAGGCTATACAGGGGATCGTTGTTGGTGTGTATGTCTGTGCATTGCGTGTGCATTGCATGTGTGTGCAATTGTGGTGACTCATTGTGCCCCTTCCAATTAGCAAGCCAGCATCAGGACTCCAGGTAAGTGAAAAAAAGTTGTACATGCCAATGTACAATATTTCACGTACATTTTTCAGTTTAACAATGCTTCCCGTTTTTGTTGAACTGTAACACATTTCATAACATTGACCGCAAGGGCATTTAAATACAGTACATTATTGTGTTCCAACTGACGAACTGTTCGACTTACAAACGGGTCTCAGGAACGAATTTTGTCCATAAGTTGATGACTGCCCATATACTGCCTCATCGGCAGTCAGGCTTGCTTGGCTCAATGTTGTTGAAGAGAGGGTCCTGCCTGTAACATCAGAAGATCACCTGCTTATTTTGTTGTTTATAGTCTAGTAATTGTTATGTTTTAGGAATGGTCAGTAGATTTTAATGTTTAGATTATAATATAATGTTTTAATGTGCTGACCATCTGTCCTATTGACCACAGTGACAATTATCAGTCACTGTGGTCAATAGGATAGACGAGCTATAAAATGTAATGGTTAATTACTGTTACAATTCTCAAATTTTCTGGCTTTAACAATGTTTTAATCGTACATGGTATGAACCTTATGGCGGGACCCCGGAGCCCCGAATAAACGGAAGTCTAAGTTGTAAAATAATGCATTTATTTTTGGCGACTCCGTCCCACCGTGCAAATAAACGCCGCAACCCACCTGGCGCATATCATTTTGTTCTCATGTCGTCTAAGTGCAGCGAGGACGAATGCACTCCATGCTCGGGTATGGGCAGGGATCATAAGTCTTATCCAAAGCTGCTCAAACTGCCTACACGACTTAAGTCCTTTATTTGTCATAACGGTATGCATAATACAGTGAAACTGCTCTCTTCATTATTATTTGTGACCTACCAATGTCTGCAGCCAGGCTCAATCGATGACAATCCTATTACTTGCAGATATTTAACAGATGAGATGCGTTGCACCGTTAATTTATCCTGTTTGATAATACTTCTCTTTCGATTTAAAGCTTTCGTGACTGCAGGGATTCATCTTCTTGGTTCTTTCGGTAAAGTCACGTAGAATGGAAATAATAAAAATGAAACCTAGTATCTTTCACGCGACGGTCAATGGTATAGTGTATAGCGGATTGTATAATAATAAATAGTATAAAATTGTAATGTTTAATACAATGTACAAAATAATATATAGTGTCGTAATTGTATAGTGAATATACAGCAGTGTGATATACAGTAGGGTGGATAGAATAATACATAGTTAAATATTACAATGTATAAGGTGGTGTATAGTAATACAGTATATAATTTAATGTTGGGTTTGTCTATGGCAGTATATAGTACGGTGTAGACCCGTGTGATGTAAGAGAATAAAGTTTAGCTGGAAGCATATTATATTTTTTGCGACATAGAATTGTAATGTATTACTTACTGTTAGTAGCTCAGCTTATTGGAGAGTATATTTAGTATACTGATGATACTATGTAGTTTATACTTTAGTTGTTTACGTGGTGGTTTAGTTACTGCAGCTACAGACTATTAACATTCCTTCCCTTTATTAATGCTTCCCCCTATCCCTTCCCTTTGATGCTGCTAATCCTGCATAATGCACGGGAAAAACATAACTTTAAACCCCTCGCCAAACCTTCTACGCATTTCACAAGTAGTACTAATCACATATCTGCATTCCCATAAATATGCTAACATTCCTCTTGATATGCAAATTATTTTGTCAAGGCGCTCTCCTCCTCCCTCTCCACTTTAATATACGCTCCAAGCCTGGGGTGTGTCATTCAGACTCTGTCGTCTCGACAGACCTGTTCTTCACCTAAGGACGGCTGCTTGCGTTGTGGCCGAAACGTCGTGAGAATTATTTTATTATGTGAAAATGTTATTATTTTATTATTTCCATTCTACGTGACTTTACCGAAAGAACCAATAAGATGAATACTTCTCTTGTCCGTATGCATCTGTGCAGATAGGTTTTTTTTTTGCGGTTAAGCCATAGTCCCCACATACCACTCGTATCAATGCGGAGAAGAGGAGCGGCGACCCAGTACTCTGTAAAGTAACATTGGTATAAACGCTTGTTACAATATGAACAGCGCATTGAAAACCGCGTACTATTTTACGTACTGTTTACAAAGTGTGTTCACAAACCAACAATGAGAAACACGATTGACAGAGGGGTGTAAATTATTTTTTCGATAGTGTATTTAAATAGAGATACTACAGGTAAGTAGTTTTCATTTTTAAAGGCATAGTTTAACAAGACAACAGTTGCCACCATTCTTCAAACCCATTGGTGAAAAAGAGCAAAGTTTTCGTTTACATTATAATATAATGTTTATGCGAGAGCGGGGGGATTATGGGACCCCGGGGTCCAGCCATAAGGTTCATATATATATAGTTTAACACATAGGCCTTAACGACCAATGTCAATAATATTTTTTTTGGTTACATCTCATTAATATAAATGTGTCGTTATATATTTATACTAACGGGAAGTACCCGGCGTTGCCCGGGCGAGAAATGAATTTCAAAACTTCTTTTAAAAACCTTACATATACAGTGAGGGAAAAAAGTATTTGATCCCTGGTGATTTTGTATGTTTGCCCACTGACAAAGAAATGATCAGTCTATAATTTTTATGATAGGTTTATTTGAACAGTGAGAGACAGAATAACAACAACAAAAATCCAGAAAACCGCATGTCAAAAATGTTATAAATGTATTTGCATTTTAATGAGGGAAATAAGTATTTGACCCCTCTGCAAAACATGACTTAGTACTTGGTGGCAAAACCCTTGTTGGCAATCACAGAGGTCAGACGTTTCTTGTAGTTGGCCACCAGGTTTGCACACATCTCAGGAGGGATTTTGTCCCACTCCTCTTTGCAGAACTTCTCCAAGTCATTAAGGTTTCGAGGCTAACGTTTGGCAACTCGAACCTTCAGCTCCCTCCACAGATTTTCTATGGGATTAAGGTCTGGAGACTGGCTAGACCACTCCAGGACCTTAATGTGCTTCTTCTTGATCCACTCCTTTGTTGCCTTGGCCGTGTGTTTTGGGTCATTGTCATGCTGGAATACCCATCCACGACCCATTTTCAATGCCCTGGCTGAGGGGGAAGGAGGTTCTCACCCAAGATTTGACGGTACATGGCCCCGTCCATCGTCCCTTTGATGCGGTGAAGTTGTCCTGCCCCCTTAGCAGAAAAACACCCCCAAAGCATAATGTTTCCACTTCCGTGTTTGATGGTGGAGATGGTGTTCTTGGGGTCATAGGCAGCATTCCTCCTCCTCCAAACATGGCGAGTTGAGTTGCTGCCAAAGAACTCCATTTTGGTCTCATCTGGCCACCACACTTTCACCCAGTTGTCCTCTGAATCATTCAGATGTTCATTGGCAAACTTCAGACGGGAATGTATATGTGCTTTCTTGAGCAGGGGGACCTTGCGGGCGCTGCAGGAATTCAGTCCCTTCACGGCGTAGTTTGTTACCAACAGTTTTCTTGGTGACTATGGTCTCAGCTGCCTTGAGATCATTGACAAGATCCTCCCGTGTAGTTCTGGGCTGATTCCTCACCATTCTCATGATCATTGCAACTCCACGAGGTGAGATCTTGCATGTGTAGTAGGTTCCAGGAGACTTGGATGACGTAGTTGGAGGCACACTTTTTTATTAACTACAATGTACATAACAGGCCGAGATGTACAACACTCGAAGGGGTATCGGCCCCTTCACCCGTCTAACAGGGAGATCACACAATCTGTGTCACGCTAGTCTACTCCTCGGTCCTCCACTACAGGGCTAGGGGAGGCTAGCTAACCCAGCTCTGGTTAAGCTGGGATTACGGCACCCTGAGTCCCCAGACCGGCTCTTACAAGAGCATCGGCTCTGAGCTCTTGGAGCCATGCCACTGGCTTGCCCTGGTCAGTCCTGAGAAGGACAGCGATCCAGGGGAGTCCCAGGGCCTATCTAGCCGGTCTTCTTGCTTCGCTGGTTAAGGCTGAACACTGAACCCCGAGCCCTCTGGCTCACCGCCTTATATAGCAACTCCCCCACTGAGGGGTGGGGCCGTGGGGGATCCCAGCGCCGTGTTAGCCCCCCAGACTAAACGGTGCGGACGTGGATGTAAGCACCTCTTGGCGTACGGGCATAACCACGCCCAGTGTGTTTGTTTGCCCTCCGTAACACCTCTACACATGGAGCCCCCGGCCGAGGGAAATTGACAGTTCTTTTGTGTTTCTTCCATTTGTGAATAATCGCACCAACTGTTGTCACCTTCTCACCAAGCTGCTTGGCGATGGTCTTGTAGCCCATTCCAGCCTTGTATAAGTCTACAATCTTGTTCCTGACATCCTTGAGAGCTCTTTGGTCTTGGCCATGGTGGAGAGTTTGGAATCTGATTGATTTATTTCTTCTGTGAACAGGTGTCTTTTATACAGGTAACAAGCTGAGATTATGAGGACTCCCTTTAAGAGTGTGCTCCTAATCTCAGCTCGTTACCTGTGTAAAATACACCTGGGAGCCAGAAATATATCTGATTGAGAGGGGATGAAATACTTATTTCCCTCATTAAAATGTAAATCAATTTATACAAATTTTGACATCCGTTTTTCTGGATTATTTTGTTGTTATTCTGTCTCTCACTGTTCAAATAAACCTACCATTACAATTATAGACTGATCATTTCTTTGTCAGTGGGCAAACGTTCAAAATCAGCAGGGGATCAAATACTTTTTTCCCTCACTGTACATACACAGATACTAAGCTATTGTGAAAGCCCGGTGAGCCGTTTGTATGTTTCTCCACCAACAAAATTATAAGAGGCTTGCAGAAGTCCAAAAAGTAATAGAAAGTGGGGGTAAATAGTTGATCTAAAAGGTTTCTGAAAATTGTTGACCCCCTGCCCCCTAGTACATACTGACTGTGGTGGTACCTGCTTTCACTACAGCAGTGCATACTGACTGTGGTGGTACCTGCTTTCACTATAGCAGTGCATACCGACTGGTGGAACCTGCTTTCACGACAGCGGTGCGTGCATACCGACTGTGGTGTTACCTGCTCACTACAGTACATGCTGACTCTATAGCAGTATATATCGACTCTATAGCACAAACTACTAACTTGACAGTGCCGTCATGAGGCCTAGTCCCGTGCAGAGCCCCCGGCCTCGCCTAGATTGCCCAGCCGGCTGAGGTGGCACCTTGGCACCCTCGCCCTCCCCCACCATCCCCCCCGCCTGCTCTTCAATAATAGTATCTAAGTGCTATAATATTAGTATCTACCAACCCTATAGTAGTAAGTGCACACATTGGGGTGGGGGGGAGAAGAGGACATGACACTTTGAAGAATTCACCTCAGCGCTGTTTTCTTTTGCATTTTTTACGCGAAAGATAATTCCCCCCGCCTCCCAATGAACGTGTATGCGTTGCTAGGGGCTAATAATAAATAGTACTTAAAATCGGAATAGCGCTGGCTCACCAAGGGGCTTATCGCGTGGTACCTGGCTATTTTTTCAACAAAAACCCCACGGTTCGTGAGGCAAATCCTTCGCAAGTTTCGTCGACACACAGACAGACGGACAAAAATGACATTGCAGACATGATTCCTTGTAAAAAGTTTCAGTTTGGTGTTTTAACAACTTAACACTTGTTTTGTTGCCAGATAAAAGGGGAAAAACCTATTCTCATATTTTGCTACTGGCAAAAGGGAGGTCCCATGATGTAGATGCTCACCCCGAGCTCTCATTACTCTGATAGTGCATTGTCTTTGTGCTGCACGCCTTTTGGCGTCCTCTGGTCTAACACCGTTTGAGACGAGGCTAAAAAAAGCTCTCTCTGGTGTGAACCAATCAGTTTCAAAGACAATGCATATCTTATCAAGAGTATGTTTTTTGTTTGCATTTTGACCACAAGTATTGTGGTTAATCCAGACATGATTCCTTGTAAAAGGTTTCAGTTTGGTGTTTTAACAACTCAACACCTGTTTTGTTGCCTAATAAAAGGGGGAAATCCTATTCTCATGACGTACATAGAAAACGAATCTTTAAAAGCTGAGTTAGTAAATAGAAAAGTTCAAATCTGTGTGTGAAAGTCGTTGTCTATGTGTGTAAGTCCATGCGTGTGTGTTAGTCAATATGTGTGTGTGTAAGTCTATGTGTGTGCGTGTATTTTTTGACCGGGCAATACCGGGTACTTCCCGCAAGGATATAATATATTTTAAAATCTGATGCTGTTTCTTGATGGAGTACGTTTCTTCTGCAGGCCAAATTGCTTTTTTGCAGGATGTGGGGAGATTCATGCACAGTAAGCTGCCACACAGGTAACCATGTGCCTTTGGATTCAGTACTCAACCTCATATGCACTAATAGCGGCTAAATGTATTGCACATGTTTCATGTCTCCTGGATTTGAATACGTATTCCCATGTGAGTTCATGCAAAAGAGAATTTTGCATCTCTAGTAATTTATGGCTTGTATTTCTTTCCACAATACATTAAACCCTTAATATTCGTTCAGGATATATTGATAATGAATGATGAGTCATTAAATCCACGAATATTAATATTGAAAGCTTATGGGGAAAATATGGTTCGGGGCATACACATATAATCCATTTAAACATAAACATAGCACTACATAATTTGTTGCAGAAATGCAAAACCGTGATTATAAAACCAATGACTTAAGGGTTGACTGTACTTTGAAACCTTTTGAGTCACCATGACTCTCACATCTTTGATCATATTACTACAATCTCCGTAATAATTCCTTTCCCTGAGCTGCTACAGCATAAATCATGTGATATGGTACAGCAATTTTGGACAACTAAGCTCTCCTTGTGTCCTAGGCAGAGACGTTTCACAATTTGTGAAGGCAAATAAATACTTGGAACCCAGATTTCCATTAATATGTGGGACTCATTGAAAGCATTCATCACAGTGAAATGTATTGCAATAAAATAAATGTATTCCTATGCAATAGCCGTAGATGGTGAGAATGCATTTGATTTGGTAGAATGGCCTTTACTATGGCAACCACAAATATTGGACTTTTATGCCCTTAATCATAATTACAAGTATATAGCGCTTTTCATCAAATATCTCAAAGCGCTGCACAGGACACAGCAGCAGCAGACGCTCAGCATGAAAATATAAATACGTTTTAAGAATAATTTACTAAATTAACAAAAAAATTAATAAGCGGAAGAATATAAATTAATTTTAAGGCGCATTTTTTAATGTCCATAGACTCCGATCCTGATATGTCATGGAAGAGCATTCCATAGCCTGGGGGCTACACGAGAAAAAGCTCGGTCACCCATAGACCGAAACCTCGACCTGGGAATATAGAGAAGATCTGCATCCTCAGATCTTATGGACCTTGTGGGGACATATGGGTGCAGCATGGGCAAGATGGTTCATTGCTTTATCTGTTAACAATGGGATTTTAAACCATATTCTACGTGAAACTGTAAGCCAGTGCAGGGAGACCAAAACGGGTGTAATATGTTTAACACGTAGGCTTTCGCGACCAATATCATCCATAACAGAGATCGCGAAACAATAAGACTTCTCCAAAAATCTGGCTGTCGCCTAATGAAGCTAGTTGTAATTACTGGCGAAACGTCGTGGCTTGGCTCTCCAACACACTGGTGTGCTGTATTAGTGACGAATTGGCATGTTCTGTTTACGTGACAACCTCTACAAGTTGGCTGTGTCGGGTGGTGCCGGTTTTTAACGACACATATTTGCACGATCTAACCCAAAAAAAACCTCTTATTGGTGTAATATGATGTGAAGAAGGTGTTTTGGTTAACACCCTAGCAGCCGCATTTTTAACATGCTGCAAATTGATTAGCACCTTCTTAGCAACGTTAGGGAGTAAGACATTACAATAGTCTATGCGAGATGAGTTGAAGGCATGTACCAGCTTTTCTGCATCTGAGGCAGAGAGAAGGGATCGGATATGGGAGATATTCCAAAGATGGAAAAATTAAGTCGTGTGATCTTTTTAATATTTATTAGTAACCATACAGAGCACTTTAGAAGAAACAAAAATAACACCATTAACATTAACGCAGGTACGTGTGTTGTATACCAACATTGTGTTTTGCTTGTGTTTTCATTTAATGTACGTTTATTCAGATGAAGTCCCTCAATGTAAATGTGGTTCTGTCGGTGCAATCATGCTGCACAGTAGGGAAATATGCATCTTTCCACACATGTTTTTGCATCCTCTCTGTGATGCGTTTTTGTGCACAGGCAAGAGGTGATCACCATGGCAGAGCATGATGGAGGCGGGATTGACCCTGACAATGACCCCACTGACCCCACCTCTGCTCTGCCCGCGCCTTCCAACCAATCAGCTTACAGGGACCTTTCTGCTAGCCAACCCCAGCCAATGGACTCGCATGAGGGATACGAAGATGAGGAGCTTTTCATTGAAGAGTTTGACTCTGACAAAGAATGACGAGTTTGAGTTGGAAACCAAACAGCAGCACTATTCTCAGAATAAAGACCGACCAGGGCTAATAAGATGTATGGAAAAAGGAATGTTCTGTCATACAGTGGGCTTGAGGTGATCAAAGTCTATATTATTTATTATTATGCTGTTTTACCCAGGAAGAAGTCTCAAGAGTTTTTCTTGAGGGTCCTGTCTAGTTACTGCAGTAGGGGGCAATGTAATCCCGATTTACTAATTTGCAGGTAATTTTTCAGCATTGAAATGTTTGACCAATATCAGTTACATTGAGTATTTTTTATCCTTTGGGTTCTCTGATTCCATCCCGAGGAAATCCAAGCAAAACAGGGAAAAAATACAAACTCTACACAAAAAGGCACCGAACTCGGGATCAAACCCATGTACTTTATGTGACGCACGAGTGTTACAACTGCGCCACCCTACTGCCCTCTCCAATTTCCACAGGATGACTTTTTTGGTCAAATTGCTTGCCCTTGGTTCAATTGCCTTTGTTAAGTAATGTAAGAAAAACAAGGGATTGGCAGATAACTTCATTGTTAAATATGGAATATAAATGAGATTACATGATTAGTTGGGTCTAGCCTCGTTTTGAGTGTGCTCCCCAGTGGGCCAATTTGTTCCCAGAGCTGCTCCGTTGCATTTGCAGTAAATGACCAAAGTGATGTCAACTGTTAATTCACATTAAAGTTCCTCCAAGATAAAGCACAATAGGAGGCCATTCAACCGATGTCTGGAAAATACGAATACATTGTATGAAAATAAATGGTTTGTAAATACTTGGCCAGGTCAATGTTTGTGTTAAACAACAGGGCTCTTAATCCTGTTGCTAGTTTCAATCCCACTGGGGTGGCAGTGGGTGGTACCTCATCTAAAACACGTTTTTTTGTTGTTTAAATAACCTAAGCAGTTGAAAAGCCCCATTTGAGTTCAACCAAAATTGTAACATTCTTTGGGTCTTTCAGTAAAGTCGCGTAGATATAACAATAAAATAATAAAAATTTCAATAAAGTGAATTAAAAAAATATAACCACGTTTCGATCGCAACACAAGCAATCGTCATCAGGAGAAAATAGGGGGAAAGCTGCTGAGGCAGGCTGTTTTAAAGGTTTGAAATGGGTGTAGCCCAAGGGTCATAAACGAAGTGGGCAGGGCTAGTGATGTTAGAGAGAGATTAGCACGTCAATGTAAACAGCGGCTGTGTTAGTGTGCACCTGTTAATGTAAAATCATAAAGTCGAATATAACTGCTAACATCGGAAGGTAGGATGGAAACATCACAGCCAGTTATGACTTAAACTGGTTCATAACGTCCTTCCAATGATTGCTCAATCTGTACCCATCTTCTCGGTTGAAATTGTATCTGTGTCTATATATCTGAATGGCTTCGTGAACGAATCTTTGTTGATAGTGGGTTTGCAGAGTACCTTCGTCTTGGAGAAATCAATTTCGTGAGCCCAACGCATTAAAACAATGATCAGCCACGGCTGAGGTATTGGTCCTACCATGTTTCAGATCTGCCTTATGTTCACGAACACGGTCCGAGACATGTCGCTTAGTTTCCCCAATCTAACTACTGCCGCAGACACAGCTTAGTTTGTAGACAACCGAGAAGATGGGTACAAACTGAGCAATCATTTGAAGGACGTTATTGACCAGTTTAAGTCATAACTGGCTGTGATGTTTCCATCCTACCTTCCGATGTTTTCAACTCTGATTTTACATTAACAGGTTCACACTAACACAGCCGCTGTTTACATTGACATGCTAATCTCTCACTTTAACATCACTAGCCCCGCCCACTTTGTTTATGACCCTTGGGCTACACCCATTTCAAACCTTTCAAACAGCCTGCCTCAGCAGCTTTCCCCTCTTTTTTTCTCCTGATGACGATTGCTTGTGTTGCGATCGAAACGTCGTGATATTCTATTATTTTTTATTCACTTTATTTTCTTTTTTATTATTTTATTGTTCTATCTACGTGACTTTACCGAAAGACCCAAATAATATGAATTCCTGCAGTCACGAAAGCATTAAGTCAAGATTGAAAATTGTAACACTTTTGGCTAATGTAAGTAGTTTTTTTCAATTTAAGTTAATTCTGATGGAATACAACAATGAGTTTCAAATGATTCAAGCCATAGGGGCACATCTCTGGCCTCTTGTGAAGTGGGTATTTCGGCATCTCAATGGCCATTTCAATCCACCCTCACCTTTGTTCAAACAGGGTACTCAGGTGGTGGGTAGAGGTTGTGCCTCATGGCCAATCAAAAGGTGCCATGCTTGGTCCCTACTACGACCTCCGGGTGCTGCTAACCCCACAGAATACCTGACTGCAAGGTCCTGCCCAACTCTATAGCCTCCAAACTAGTGGAGACAACAAAAAGGGCCACTTGACAAAAACATCAAGCAAGAGATCCATCACCAATTACACCAGACACCGGAAGAGTCGACGGGTAAGTTCTTTCTTTTAGCCGCTTTCTTTGACATGGTTGCGTAGTTCTTTTACCACTTCGACACCAAATGTAGTGCTGTTATTTCACGCGGACAACTTTTTTTTCTCCTGTTGTCACTTTTATTCGAACAGAATGCCTCGCGTTCAACACCACGTAACTCCATCACAACTCTCCCACGTGCGCTGCTCGCCTGCTTCGCTCCGCTCGCTACGCTCTCCCTGCTTCTCCACCGATAGCCTGCTCTCTCTCATTTTGATAGCCTCTCCCGCTGCTAGCCTGTCTCACTCTGTTTACCTCTCCGCTGCGAGCCTGCTGGCTCTTTGCTGGCCTCTCCGCTGTTAGCCTGTCTGCCACGCTCCGCTCGCTCCACTCTCTCACTTTGCTAGCCTATCCACTGCTAGCCTATCACTACATACTCTGGTAGCTTCCCACCGTACACTCTGCTAGCCTCTTCACTGTTAGCCTATTACGATACACTTTGCTAGCTTCTCTACTGCTAGCCTCTCGCTATATACTCTGCTAGCTTCTCTACTGCTAGTCTTCGCACACTTAGGATTCCGCTAGCTTCTCTACTGCTAGCCTAGCCTTCCTACCCTCGCCTCTCCAACCTCGCACTTGCCTCCAGTGTGTGTTCAGCCATCACCGCTGGAGAGGACGAGGTGTCGAGAACGGGGCCCTGGACTTCTCTTGTGTTCGCTCTTTTCTTGCTCCAACCAACTCAACCTTCCGCCTCACATGTTCCGTATTTATCCTGCTCATTAAACGCCCTAATTAAGCTGGTGTCCTCCCGTCGCCTGTCGCACTAGGCCAGTGGTCGGCAACCAAAATAACAAGAAGAGCCATTTCTTTCCAATTCGGTACAAAATTCAGTATTTCAAGAGCCGCAATGCATCTGAGTACATACGTACTCATCGTCAAGAAGCAGCCCGTAAAGAGCCGCATGCGGCTCCGGAGCCGTAGGTTGCCGACCCCTGCACTAGGCTATGCCTCAATCTGCAGACTCCCGAGGCGCCTACACCGTGTCTGCATTTGCAGCCAGCCAATCACCACTATGCATTCTAATTGGTCGTCTCTGGATTGCTCTCACACCGCACCTGTTTGTCCTGGCGTGACTTCAATGTCTGCGGCTCACGTGCATGCACACTGCAAAACCCCACGCGTGTTACTCCACTACAATTATTTCGCACAATTCATGCAAAGAATGAAATACAAAATGCTTTACAGGACTAAATGAAGGAACTGACACAATGTAAACGACAATAAGAATGATACGTAAAAAGGCATATTCTAATGAACTAAAAGTGTAATAAAATGCATAATAAACAAAGCATTCCAATTAAAAGACAATCTAAAAAAGGTATGTTTAAGATTTCGTTAAAAAATATTCACCGATTTAGATTCCCTCAAATCCTCAGGCAAGCTTTTCCAAAGGCGAGGACCATCGAAGCTAAAGGCTGCCTCGCCATAGGTCTTGGTCCTGGCCTTTGGCATAACCAAGAGACCAGTGCCAGAGGACTCGAGGGATCTACGAGGTTCATACCTTAAAAACATGTCAGACGTATTCAGGTGCCAGTCCATTTAGTGACAAAAAAAATCAAATAATCTTGAAATCAATTCTAAAGCTGACAGGCAGCCAGTGTAGAGACTTTTTAAAAGGTGTAATGGGTGCTCTCCTGATCTTGGTCATCACTCGTGCTGCAGAATTCTGAATGAGTTGCAGTTTGACTATTGCTTTCTTAGTGTAACGATTCGAAATAGTTGCCCTCACATGAAAGCTGAAGGGTAAGTAAGTCCTTGTAGCTATTCGTGTCCTCGTTCTTGGAGTGGCGAGTCCCCGCACTCCAACAGTCGACACTAATCACTCAGCTCTTGAAGTGGTCTCTCTGCACTCCAATAGTTGATAGAGCCCTCCTTGTGGCCATGGGTGTGGCGTGTCGCCCCCACCTCACTCCAGCAGTCGAGACTGCACCAGGGACGTGCGGTCAGGGGAGGCAGAGCCTCACCAGTCATACTCCAATGAAAATAGCTGTTACGAAAAGTAAAAAAAAGAATACTCATTTAAAATAAATATTAAGATTTTTCCACTGATCTGTTATAAATGTAATTTCTTTATAGTCAAAATCGCCAAATTTGCGGAGCTCCACTGCAAATACAGGAAGAGACGAGAGGTGAGGCAGCGACGAGCTCAGCCTCCCCTCTGATTGCGCAACCCCTCAGTAACTGGATGGAGCGCGGGCAATAAGCGCATGCCTGTTACTATCTCAGTATGTCACCAATGTAATTTTTGTAGACCCCTTCATTTAATGTCCTCCCATACTCCAGGTAACTTATTTCACGTATGTGTATAAATATATTTAGGCTCGCTGGTCTCGTCATGAAACTGCAATGAAAAAGCACCAGGGGAGGCAGCTATCACATCTGCCTCACTGAGGGAGACATTTCTAACACGCCCCCTCAGTGAGGACACGCCCCCTCAATGAGGACACGCCCCGTCAGTGAGACCACGCCCCCCTCTGTGAATCTGGCTCTGACACTAGTCAGTGCCTCCCCAGCCATTGACCTCACCGTACGTCACTGGACTGCACCCACAACCGAGAAGATAGATTCCGGCTTAGCAATCATTGGAAGGACGTAATAAACCATTTCGGATCTTAACTGATTGTGTTCACGTTTACGGTGACTTTGAGACCGCGTTCCACTCACCGGCATTGTATTCTCCGCAGGGAATGGATTCTTTGCTCTGCTGCAAGTTTTCTCCCACTACTCTTCCTCTTAGTATCTTTCACACGACGGTCAATGGTACAGTGTATAATAACAAATAGTATAACATTTATATGCTTAATACAATGTACAAAGTAATATATAGTATCGTAATTGTATAGTGAATATACAGCAGTGTGATATACATTAAGGTGGGTAGAATAATAGTGTAATATTACAATGTACAAGGTATAGAGTGGTTTATAGCAATACAGTATATAATTTAATGTTGGGTTTGTCTATGGCAGTATATAGTACGGTGTAGACTCGTGTGGCGTAAGAGAATAAAGTTTAGATGGAAGCATATATATATATTTTACGACGTAGAATTGTAATGTATTACTTACTGTTAGTAACTCAGCTTATTGTAGAGTATATTTAGTATACAGATGATAATATGTAGTTTATACTTTAGTTGTTTACATGGTGGTTTTAGTTACTGCAGCTACATACTATTAACACTCCTTCCCTTCATTAATGCTACCCCTATCCCCTCCCTTTGATGCTGCTAATCCTGCATAATGCACTGGCATAAATAAACTATTCACATACCTGCATTTCCCA